TTCCCGGAGTGTCCATGTTTTTGTGATTGTACCGCTCAACGCAGTAACACACGCATCTGACGCTCATTGGTACCCAGCCTACTGAGTCAGTCTACCAGTAAGCTTTGCACTGTCTATGAGCGTTCAATTATTGCGTTGGAACGGCTTTGCGATGTTTTCCGATGTTTTACGATATTCGTGGCGGCATCAAATTTTGCCTGAAACTTGGTAAATCAGGGACCTTTCCTTAGGCCGAACACAAAATATCCGAGTGTATATGAATAGAGCAATTTGTGCACATAATGATCATCACGTCACAAAGAACCAAAATACAACTATTAACAACAGGGAAATATTAGTAGATATTAGTAAATTAAATATCTGAATGACCGTATCTGCCGTCCATCAGCATGGCTGATGCTAACCTCCAGGAGAGTGATACGTTGTGCCTTCTAAGGCTAACATTTTCCGCTGATATGAAGTGGAAATATTATATTGAATTCTTTGTTAGGTCTGCAGCTAAGAAATTTGGTTCACTATATTACGCGAGACAATCTTTCTCTCCAGAATCTACCTTACAAATTTATAAGTCTACCATTTATCCATGTATTGAATATTTCTGCCATATATAACCTGGTTCTCCTGCTATATATCTAGAGATTCTTGATGAAATCCAAAGAAGAATCTGCAATGTTATTGGTCCTGATCTGGCATCTCGCCTTTAGTCACTTTCTCACCACTGTAGTGTAGCTGCCCTGTCCCTTTTCTATAAATACTTTCCTCTGTGGTACTTAGCCTTTATACTAGATTGGCGGCATGGTATCATCATTTTACAACTGAAATGGTAAGATGTAACCGCAAGTTCTATGCTAAAAGTTTTTTCTATCGCACTTATCGCTTGCGGAACTCTCTCCTGGCATCTAGATTCACAGTCAACTATGATCTTCAAAAATTTAAATGCAATGCCAATCGTTAATTCTTAATTCTTCTTCTTTTATTATTCTCTCTCCTTAATAGCATTTTTTCACACACTCTATAACACCCAGTAACTGTTTGCGTCTTAGTGGCTTTATTGTCTTTCAGTGGTGTTGAGCGGTCTTTGACTGCGCATGCCTTCTGTCGAACTCTCTGCGTTAGCAGAGAGGAACCCGGACGAGGCTTTGCCGAAGGGCAAGGTTTCGTCCGGGGAGGTAGGCAGGGCCTGAACCCGTCTAATCGGCTTCAAAGGCTATTTTTTTGGCCGAGCCTACGGGCTCGGGGATACCCACAATAAAACCGGCCTTGTGCCATATTCGTTTCCCGTGGGTGAAATGATAAATACTCAGTGGCTTTATTGTCTTGCTTGGGGTGAAAAAATAGAATATCTTTCACATTTTTGGTGCTGCCACATTTTATGAAATAGTTCAACACATGAGGTCAATTGTGAGATAACATGGGCAGCATACTTATTGTCATTGGTCTGTAAGTCTTCGTAAGTCTTCAAGATATTAAATGAAATCAATGGCTACCTGTGCACAAATTGTATTTAAGAGAGAAAAGGCATTGCACAGAGACAATCCTATTCTCTGAACTTCTAATACATTTATCTAAAAAGAAGAATTGGTCCACATCTTTCGATGTAAACGATGGTATATCAGAGTTTTCCTTCTCCCAGGGAGTTGTTTTAACAATGACCCGTGGTCTCCCAGTAGACTTACAGAGCATCTGAATACTACTGACCCCGGTATTTTTACATTCACGCGAATCTATAGACGATACACATATGTAAACGTGAGTGTACTAAATGGTCGTTGACCAGGCTGGAATCTTCATTCACCTTTTGGCAGATTTTATTTTTCACCGTGCTGAATGTCTAGCCACCCACATCTTGAGAAAAGTTTGGTGGAGAGACCAGTTTAATCACTGATCACCTGGCATACATACATTCGTCTTCAAAATATGGGTTAAATCTGATAGATTCGGGCCATACAATAATTATCAATGTGTATTTATTTGTATATTTCCTTTATATTTATTATTATATTTCCTATCTCATCGCTAGTGGGAAGTTGGCGGGGGGATGGGTAAATAAACTTCAGTTAGTAAATTTATGAGTCGTTACTTCTCTTAGTCGTTTTAATAATCTATACATTTAAAATATTTATCAGTATTTAGACAAAATTCGATTCCAAGCCAACGGAAATGTTTAATTAATAAGTTCCTTTACTTCTAAGTTTCTTAGCAGATTTCTTAGATTTTAGATAGTAGTTTTATTTCTTCAAGCGTTTCATGTGAGGCATTCAGATACCTTTGTCTATTAAATAACCGTCTTGAAATAGGATTAGTTGTCGCCGTCTTTGTCGTTTTGTTGCTAATCTTTTTCTTCAGAGCGGTATTTTCATTTCGCTGTTATTTTAAACATAAAAAATTCAACATGAAAAGGTATTGAGCAAAAAACGATTTATATAATACCAGGAGTAACTAATGAATTATATAATACCAGGAGTAATCAATGAATCATAGATATCATTGAATGTCTAACAAATATAAAGGGAACGGATTAATTAAACGGTTCATTGGCTTCTATTTTGGTTGTAAATTCTTTACCTCCGATTTATTATATCTCAATACATTGTTTTAAGACTTTTGTTTCATTGCATCGATTAAAACTTTAAAAAAATTGCCGTCATTTTTGACGACACATGTTGTTTATTTATCTTAATCAGAAACTTTGAAAGGGGAATAATGCATTATTTTACTCTAAAAATTTCCGATGAAATGAATAGCAAAACATTAAATTTATAATATTCCTTATTCAATCATGCATATCTTTCAATAAATTTATAATAACGCTAAAGTCTATAAGCAAATCTTTTTTATAGTGATTTTCCAAGCGTAGCTTTTATGTGGCACAAGGTCGAAAGTAAGGGGTACCCAGTGAGGATTGAACTCACTACTCAGTCGTAATTGTTCTAGCGAGACAAGATTGCTAACCAGTACACCATCTCAATCTGCCCCTTATTTTCCAAGCGTAGCTCAGATGTGGCACAAGGCCGAAAGTAGGGGGCACCCAGTGAGAATCGAATTCACTACTCAGTGGTAATTGTTCTAGCGAGACAAGCTTGCTAACCATTACACCGCCTCGAGGTGCCCAGCAAATCTTTTTCATATGCCATGCGTGATAGACGCTTAGGCGATCACGTATCTTTCGATACATGATTGACGAGGCAGATATTTTATAGTTGCCATTCAAGGATATCAGAACACGGTTTGTCCTGCTATTTGCCCATAGCTGGTTAGAAGAAGAGAATTCATACTTTTCCCAAGGGTATTAGCATGTAAGTGAATGTAATGGATTTGACTGGAATTCGAACTCGGCTCACCGATTTTTCAATCCGCTATCCATTACTCTACCGCGGAATTTGATAAACTACAACGTAAAGTCAACACCCTACGTACAAATAACAAATGGAAAGACCAAATCTAATAGAAAATTTATTGGATATAAATCTATCCAATACCGAACTGGATCTCCTCAGCTTTGGTTTTAAAATTCGTTATCGGAATTCATAAATGAAACTTAGTTGATACGATAGTTAAAAATTAGAGACAAAACGATACAGAATTCACCAAAGGAAAAATTACTGTCACTCTAGATACCATCAATGAAAAAAATTTACCACAATGACACTTAAACGCAGTATGAAATCTAGCAAAAAATAAGGAAATCCACATTATCTACTTGGACAAGAGAGGTGGGATTGTTATTATGAAGAGGAATGCCTACAATGATAAAATTAATTTCCCACTCAATGATACTGACACAAATGAAAAAAAATAAATGAACACAAAATATTTACTAAAACACGAAAAAATAATAGAGCGATTAAAAAGTAATTAATGATGAAAACAAATCGTGGTATAAAATAATAGAATATCACTTTAGAATAACCAAATTTTATGTTCTCCTCACAAACTGGTGAAAGCTTAAGTTTAACCCCTTTTCTTGGAACAATCAACCCATCACATGTTAAAAATTCAGGCAACCTAGTTGAAAAATTAAGGGAAAAAAATGTGACTGACAAACTTATTACAATGTAAAGTTAACACCCTACGTACGGATCAATAGAATGTGGAAATACATAAGAAGAGTAGATCCTAATAGAAAATTTATTGGATATAAATCTATCCAATACCGAACTGGAAACCCTCGGTTTTGGTTTAAAATTCGCTACCGGAATTAATAAAGGTGAGTTAGTTTATATGATAGTTAAAAATCAGAGAGAAAACTGACCGCTACTAAAAATAAGAACTAGACTCTCTTTACACCAATGTTTCTGTTAACAATTGTTAAAATCTAAAAAAAAACAAAAAACAAAAAAACAAGAAAACAAACTCTAATTGGAAGCAATAGCTAAAATAATTAAAAAAAAAACAAACTTGCCATCTCACTATCTATCTATCTATCTATCTATCTATCTATCTATCTATCTACCAAGGGGAGGTAATACATAACGAGATTGTCTATCTGACCATAAATATTTAATCCAATCCTCACTGGGTGCCGCCCAAATAATTATATATTAAATAATCTAACAAGTGTTGACATATAAAACGAACGAACGAACGATCTATCTATCTATCTATCTATCTATCTATCTATGTGAGCCTGTGTATGCATGTGTGTACGCTTAATTACAGTCGCACGAACACCCGCCCACAATAAACACACATTATAGTAAAAAAAACAAAAAAAAATGCCATTTATTTTTAGGAGTAATGATTTGGTAGTTCATTTTTTCAACTTTTTGTTTTATTGTTGCATGCTATTGCAGGGTAGCGCATTGTGCGTCAAAGTCACATGGTTGCGAATTGGCTCCAGGGTCGATGGTGCTAAATGTTGCAACTGGTGGATGAATCGCGTTCTCGTGATCGCTTTTATTGGTGGTCACATGCTGGCCGAAGTAAGTGGGGATCGTTTTTCAGTCTCCAAGATAACACATCCATCTATTAATACCATCAACATTGGCCGTAATATAAAGGTCACTTGTGCAGGAAGAATATATTAATAACCGTGTATGAGAGAAAAGAAAGAAAGAAAACTCATGGTGAAAGAATTGAACATTCATACGCTAAAACTATATATATATATATATATATATATATATACTATCTGGGCCTGTATAAATTACATTGGATTTGCTAATCATTTTTTAATGCTGCACGCTGCACTTTTTAATCCATGACCATTCCCAGTTAGTTATAAGAAAAGTGATATAGTCTTTCTTAAAAATACTGAAATCTCTTCAACAGATCGTTAGATCAGGCAACATTCACCTTTATTGTTGTTATCACAACGTTTCGGTCGTTGTACCCTTTGGACTTCATCAGGTGTATATCGGTCTTGGTAATCTTTTTTTTTTTACAAGGCGCGGGGGTCACACGAGGTAGAGGGTTACATTAAAGGGTAGTGTATATGGATAAGAGAGAGAAAGATAACGGTTGACTCTAGACTTGAACAGGTTAAGATTGTAGTGATCGGGGAAAACGTCCTCTTGGGAGTCTGTTCCATAGGGTAGTGGTTTACGGGAAGAAGTTGTTTCAGTGGAACTTCTCGCCGAAGGAATACGGAGGGAATGAAGGTGGTCCTAGCCATGAAGGTCAGTCCTCGTGGAACCTGGAGATGCAGTTCGTCCGAGCACTTTCCGTGGTAGTAGTAATAGGGCAGTGAGAGATTTGCCACATCCCACATGTGAGAGAAAGGTTGGAGTGTGGAAAACACTTCTTCTCCGACAAGGATCCGAAGACGCTTTTGAACTCTATCAAGGCTGGAAAGCAAGGTTTGCGTAGCTCCTGCCCAAATGTGGCAAGAGTATTCCTTTTTCGGCCTGATTTGGCTCTTATAAAGGTGGAAGATAGCATGAGGAGTCGGGTACTTATTGCGTCGGTACAAGGAGCCAATCATTTTATTTGTATCTTTAGAGTTGGATCGTATATAGGAATTCAAGGCACGGGGCATCCTCGAGGGGACATCCGTTTATCATGACTAGCGGTAGCTTGGGATCTGATCGGCGGTGAAAGAATGTAACCAGTTTGGTTTTCGAAGTATTGAATGAAGCCAGGCAGTTCTTTCCCACTGCAAAGTTAGCGTTAGATCGGAAAAGAGGTCCGCTGCCAATCTCTGATCATCAACATTTTTAGAGGTGCGCCCGTATATCGCCGTATCATCGGCATAAATGTTTACAAATGATGTGAGTATATTCTTAGGTAGATCATTTATATAAATCAGAAAGAGGATTGGTCCTAGAAGTGACCCCTTGGAGACTCCTGCGTTGACCGCTAGTGAGTTAGAGGACTGGATGTTAATAACTACATTCAGGAATCTACAGGTTAGGATGGATTTTATAATAGAGTGAACACTTCCACTGATTCCTTAACTGAAGAGTTTGTGTAGCAAACCTTCGTGCTACACCTTATCGAAGGCCTTCGATATATCTAATGCTATGGTATTTGCAGTATGTGTCGTCAAGGACCTCACGAAATCTGTGTATAATGTTAGTTAGGACGTCAGCAGTGGATCGGGCTGATCAAAATCCATACACTTCATCGCACAAGAGGTTGTTCCTATCCAGGTGCTCGACAACTTTCTTGTTGATTAAGGCCTCAAAAAGCTTACTGATCATACTGAGGAGACTAAAGGGTCTATACTGGAAGCGGGGGTCGGTTGTCCGCGACTTTGAAGGCCGAGCATACGCTTGCCACCTTCTAAATGCTTGGGAAAGATTTCACCTTCAAGAAGCGGTTAAATAACTTTGCTACAGTCGGATATAATTCTGGGTTGATATTCCACCGGGATTTTGTCTGGGCCAGTGGTTTTTTGGAGGTTCAGGCTTTTGATAAGTCTAGAGACTTCTTTTATTGAAATGGGTTTATTAATGAGATTGTGCTCAGTGAGGCTGAGTTTGAGACAAAGATCGAGGCGAAGAACTTCGACTTGTCCGTCGCGGAGGATATGACCTCGAGGACGTTTATAATTATAGGCACGGCCGCTTTGCCCCTGTTCATAATTTGTTTAGTAATCTTCCAGAATTCGCGAGATACAATTTCAACCTTGACTATTCATTTTTCAGTACTCTCTTACAACGACTGCAGGCGGTTCTGTAAGGGCCAGACTACACCAGACTACACCGCTCCTTGCAATGGATTTTGAAGTAGTGGTTCCTGGGAGCTATGGCTGCAGCACATTCAGAGGTGAACCAGGGCTGACTATTTATTGCTGGAATTGTTTTTGGGGTATAACAGTTTCCGTTCCAGAAAGGATTCATTCAGAGATTAGGGTAGCCGTTTTGCGGGCAGCATGTTTGAAGAAGCTTGGGAGAGAGGCTTCTGTCCCACTCTACCTTCACACAGCCGAAAACCGTTCTATGGAAAAATAAATCAGGGGATGTTTTTGGTTTGGAATCAATCTGGACACTGATTAGGGAATGAGCTGACATGTCAATTGGGGCTAAAACTTTTGCTGAGCATTTGTCAAGGCAGGATGTTAGAAAAGGATCGAGGAGGAGGTTCGCCCGCTGTCCCGTAGCATCCAGGGATCGGTGGGTTTTTCAATGATCTGGGTTAGTTCATAAGCGATGGAGAAGTCTCTACAATATCTAACTTTCTCATCGATTTTGTTAGAGTGGACTAACCACTCCTTGTAACTAACATTGAAGTCACCGTATATGTATAAGTTGGCTGGCGGATATTCAGTGAGGATATTGTCAATCCTCTTTGATACTCGATCGAAGATTTCCGATCCTTCATCCTGAGGAAGATACAAGGCAAAGACAAATGTGGTACTTTGGATAAGTTTCACGCGGAAACAGATATACGTGAGATTAGGTTCCTCGTTTTTGTGTCCCTGTCACAGGGAAATTCGTTCTTGATGTAGGCACCGAGTCCGTAACCGTAGTGATTTAGATGGTCTTATTTTGTTATAATTGGTTAGTAACCCGGGATTGTGAGCTTCTGCAATGGGATTGAGGCATTGATACCCGTTTCAGATAGGGACAGGTCAGGTTTAGACTGGAAAGTTGGAACGTAAACCCCTTACATTGGTGTAAGAGATGGTATATCTGAGGTCTATTTTTAGGTTAGGTTTGCTATTTTTGTTCGTTTTCAATTTGATTGCTTTTATATTTGTTTTGCTTGGTTTGGTGGATGATTACTAGGCAGTGAAACAAACACCCATTGGCGATGCACGCATAAATAACCTGGGTTGACTCACCTGTAGGTACTGCCGTAGCAGTACCCATGATCATGGCATCAAGATGTCTCACCGGAGACTACTGCACATTCTAGAAACCATTCACAAGATCGCAGTACAATATACCCGATATTATAGACCTGCTGATAGGATAGCCTCCTTTGAAGTTACTCGAAGGTTCGTATCCCTGACTATCAGGTGGATAACGCCAAAAACCCCAAATCGTTTACTTCGATCACCCTTAATGAGGGAGCAAGAAAGATTCAGGCGTGACACTTCGAGTGTCTGTGTCTCGTCCGCCTAGAGCTCTGGACAAAAGCTCCTCCTTGGGTCAGAAACATCGTACCAGCCAGAGACCTAGGGTACAAATGCAACCTCGCTCATGTACATGAGGACTAAAAGATCGTTTAGGAGAAGTGGATGACGAGGTTTTCTTGATGGTGCATGTGCATCCCCTACTTCCATTTACAGAGCATAGTGAAATGAACCCTTTATTTAATCTATGGGGTAAACTTTTCTTGTTCCCCTGACCATGTCTAGAGACAGCTCGTCTAGTTCTTATTTTTGGTATTGGTCAGTTATTGCTCGCACGTTTTCACTGAATCCAAGTACAGGGATGGAACTCACTATGTTACCCAGATCGATATACACATGACGAAGCCTGGGGAGCTCAACGGCTGGAATGTTGTGATAACAACAACAAAGACGAGAACAATAGTCCGAATGTAAATAATAACGACTCATCCAAGACATAAAAATGATTTAAACCTTCATTAAAAACAAGTCAGATGTTCCCCTCCGATCCCTCTCTGTGTCACACTCCCTTTTTGTCTCTCTACGCCACCCTCTCTCTACTTTCGTTTTATGATCTATGTCTCTTTTTCTTTCTGTTTCCCCTTCTGAATTAATATATAAATTAGTTGTTGGTTGGTTCTTCTTAGTCAAAATTTCCTTAGTCTCGATTTCGAGGTAAAGACTTCTCTAATTCCTTCTCCTTGGAGATCTTTTTCCCATACAGTATCTGCCAACTGCAGCAATGAATTAGAATCAGTAGGTTCACTCTAACACTTGTGGTAATAAGCGCTTGGCATTTTTTGCATTTAACGCAAATGATAATAGTAGTTTAAAAAATGGTAATCTGGCATATTTTGTCTATTTTATATATGCATTTTATGATTGTTTTAATCGGTGTATAAGTAGCCGTATATAAAGATCAAATTTATAAAGAAACTGTTACACATTCATAATGATATGTCAGTGTAATTTCGACTACTGCGAATCATTATCAGGAACGTTAATGTACAATATACAAAAAATGACAAAGTTTTATATTTTTTCCTGAGACAAGCATATAAATACGTGTTTTTTAAAATTAATTTTGTTGTGAATTCAAATTTCTGAACAGTTTTGCTCCCTTACCTCTATCTTTTTTGCTTTCACATATCACATTTTGATGATAGTGTATATAAATAAGTGTTTTATTTTATAAAGAGTGTTTCATTAAGACGGATCAAAGTCAGCAGTAAATAAATCAGTGTTATTGGTGAAAATGTATTTATTTCTCTATTGGATTATGCTATTTAAGTGATGGCAATTATGTGTAAAAAATAATATCACCCAAATTTCCGTCAAATTGGAAAGAAAAAGAAAAAATCATTAGACGCTTAAACTTAATTTACATTTAAAATCTGTCTAAGTAATTGGAACATCCATTATATTACAGAGGCATATTACAGAAAAAGACAACATAAATAGAGAGCATTGACGTAACTGAATTACTTGTATAATACCATA